CCCCCCCCCCCCCCATCAGAGTAGCCAAAACATAAATGGCAGTATCTGAACTTTTATAGCTCTCTGGTCGGGGCTGTTAGAGCATGTGGTAAGCTAATTCCTCGCCCACAGTTCAAGTGCTTAAAGGGTACCATTGGGAATGGACAGTTCCTCAGAAGAGAGCCCTAAAAAGTAATCCATCCTTTTCCCCCCTCTTGATAGCCATGGCATTAAGTCTAGCGCAGAAGATCAGCTATTAGAGTGCATCAGCTGGCCCTCGTCGGTGCTAATGGAAGGCATCAACATGCATTTCAGCTTGGTCACAAAGCTGATGTGCCCTGCTCTTTCCTTTTTCATTAAAGGGGAGCTGCAGATGTGCACTTAATGTAAGATGCATCCCTTGTTTATTGTCTGGTATAATGGATGGGGAAGATTCAGAAATGTTAGATCTGGTCTTCCTTGATGTTGCTGGTGACTCCTGGTCTCAGATGTAGTGCAGAAACTCAGCACCTCCGCCCTTCACTTAGAGGTGTGAGAACCTAAACAGCTTGAGAAAAGGAGTTCAGCTGGACCTCTTAACTCAAATGGATGCTAACAGTACACAGTCGTTCGAAATATTCTGGCGGAAGGTGCTTTCCTCGGTCTCTCTGCTCAGCTTTCAGTCTCGTTTGCTGTCTTGGACTTGAGCTCTTGTCCCTTACGTGAACATCTGTTCAGGTGGTGGCTGCTGCAGTTTCCATCGAGCCCTGTCCAGCCACAAGGCTCTTCATCTGGCCTGGCCCCAGCTCGCTTCAATAAATAGAGTTAGAGGGGAGAAAGATTGGCACAGCTCGTGTCAGAAAAAGAGCAGGGAATGGGTTTCTAGAAAACAACCCTGTCAGCCGAACTTCAGTCTTCACGAAGAGGCAAACAGGAGGCACAGACTTTTTTCCGGGTCATCTCTAATTCCCATGTATTATACTTTCCATTTTAAAGATTCTCCAAAGCTGGTATTAGGAAAAGTAATGGGTAACCCTGATCTATCGAGGTTCTTGATGCAAACTAAACTCCTGGTGACTTCAGCTGACATCTTGGTCTTGCATGAACCACCGAATCTGGCCCCTTGTTCCTGCCTGAGAAGTAGTGGAAGGATAATTTCACCTTCAGCCTTAGTGGAAGGAAAATGAACACGTCTGTGTTTGCTAGCAGCAGAGCAAAAGTATAAATTGCTGGGACAACCAAACAGAAGTTACTGTGAAGAAAGCAGTGGCTCTTCAATCTCTTGATGGGGCTTATTTGTATTTTCCAGTTGGGATGTTAACCTCCGGGTACCTGGGGTTCCTTGAATTTGTACCGTGGGCAGCTGATAGATTAATATAAGCATTGTTTTCCACCTCTATCAAATGCATTGCTAAGAGAAAGTCTATGTAAGGCTATCCACCTCCTTGTTAAACAGCTCTAGGAGAAGCCTCATTCAAACAGCAGGCCCTGTAGCATGGGGAAGTGGCTATGTTTACTTTACACAGTGTTGCCAGTTGTTCAGTTTTCTGGATATATTTGTAAAAATCTGTCTTTTATACACCATGTGAAATGAATTAAAAAAATGATCTCTTCACTGTTGTACCTGTGGAAGTACAAGCCATTTGACAGGAAATGTTCAAAAATATTAAAATGTTATCTCGGTATGGCCTCTGACTCCTTTTTAATTTTTTTTTTTTTTCCTTTCAGGCTGTCAATTAAAATACTATAGTCAACACTTTAAAAAATCCCCATCTGAGAACTTTGTGCATTCAAGGTAGTGGGATGTATTCAAGTGTTGAGTGCTCTGAAATTTCAGTTAATTCCTTTTCCCCCTGTTTTCCATTGAACGCTGCTCATGCTTTCAATGCTGACTGCCTTCTTACGGTGTTAACATCATTCATAAATAAAAGCAATTTCCAGGAATAATATGCTTTGTGACTTTTTAAAATGAATTTCTGTAGTAGTACTTTAATGTGTTTTGTTTGTATTTTTCTCCCATTGTCCTTCTCCCCCCCCCCACACACACCTTTTTTCAGACACTGAATATGTAAACTTCATATTTTAAATGAGCTGAAAGAGGTTTGCTTCTTGATCAAACAGAAAATGTCTTTTGTTTTTCCCCTACACATTTCAGTATGATGTTCCCTGCCAGATGTCTTTTTAATTGAGAAGTACTTAAATTTTTGTTTTCAGGGAATCTGGCCCCCTGGCAAAATAAGAAGTCTGAATTATCTATTAATAAGGAGCTGTGTCTATACCCTAAAAGGTTAACACTGTTTATTACCCATGGGGAAAAATCACTTTTTCAGCCACAAACCTTCTTAAACTAGTTAAACTTTTAAAAAAACTAGTTGTCTATAGGCAGGTGTTTCTTGTGTGCTCTTGCCTTTGAGACCTTTCTTTAAAATCTACTTTCTTCCAGAAATTCTTATTCACAGCCTTCCCTGACTTGATCCTTGGTTTTTCTTCTGTAAACCCCACTCTTCTTAACACTTACTGCATGCAAGTAACCTCAGGTAGGTGCATACTGCCACACTCTTGCACTTAGTTATATTTAAAATAAGAGAGAGAAAGAGAGCGAGCAGGATAGTGGCCTTTGGAAACTTTGGGGTCCCTTATTATATAGAACAAAACTCATGTTTGCTTTGTCTCTCATGCTTAAAACCTGTTCCCATCAATAGAATTTAAACATAGACTTGAGCTCAAGTACATTGCTTAATGGCGATCCCAAATAATGATGCTTCTTGAGCTGGGAATTGTCTGTAAAGAACATTGAAAATGGAACAAATATTGCAGCATTCAAGGATAGCCATCCAAGCTGTGTTGTACCATGCACATCTTAGCATGATTTTGCCTTAACACTGAAATGGAGGCAGTAGGTGAGAAATGCCTTCTGGTATAGGTCTTCTGGGCCCAGGTCTGATCAGTCTGCTTCTCTGCAGGCCTGAACTGACTGAGGAAGAATATTTTTTTCAAATCTGTTGGGGTGCGGGGTGGGTGTTGGTGACAGAGGAAAGTAGAATTAAAGTTGGGAGCAAGGAAAGGAAAGACCCCCCTCCAGCTAAATTTGCTTAAACTTGGAACTACGGGACTCTTGCTACATACTGAAAGTCTTCCCAGGTGGCATTGAGTTGGGTCCTTGTTCTATAGCTCCTGCTATTCAGGCACCACTTCAGCTGTTTTTAAATTAATGTAAAAAATGATGGTTCAAATGGGGAATATTTTATACTTCTGATTCACTTAGCGTAAAACAGTTGCCTTCATCCTAGTTTCAGCAGGAGGGAGGGGCCTGGTATAGGGAGCAAAACGGTAGTTACTGTTGTACAAAGTTTTGCAAACAAGTCTCCAGCGTTAATTCAAAAAGATGCATGGAAAGAGACTGCCTTTTATCCTCTGCAATGGCCTGTGCAAAAACAATTCTCCAAGTCGTATTGTTTGTCCTTAAATGGTCCTCTGGCTT